CATTATTGATAAAATTACCGCAAAGGAAACTATATAAAAGCCCAGGAAGGAATAATATCTATACAAATCCATCCTAAAATGATTAATTTTGTATACAAGTTGTCTTGATCCCAGCCTATATAGCCCAAAACATTAAAAGGTAATATATTTTCCTTTATATTGTGTGTTATATAGTAGTAATTAGTAATATATTTTTCTTGCATCCTTGTTTTTTGTTATCAGATGGAATTTACATTGCCAAACACCATAGAAACTCTCACACCAGATGTTTCTAGAATTAATGATGTACCCCCTTGTATTGATTCATCATCGACTGGGCAAAGTAAAGGTCGGTCAAACATGTGGGAACATTTTACTAAACAAAAACCTTATTCTGAGAAGAAGGCTAAATGCAATTACTGTGGAGATTTGATTAAATATTTGGCTGGGACAAGTGGCATGAGGAATCATTTGATGAGATGCAAAGAAAATCCTAATAGAGAAGTATTCAAGAGGCAAAAACTTTCATCATCAACTATAGAAGGGGTTAGTGTTGGTCCTTCGCCAACTATTTCTAAATTTGACCAAAATGCATCTCGAATGAAGTTGGTGAAGATGTTTGTGAAATCTGAGCTTCCTTTTCGATTTGTGGAGGATGATGACTTTCGTGACTTTGTATGGTCCTTGCAACCACGATTTGAAGTCCCATCCCGCACCACATTGAGGCGTGAAATGTGGGAACTCTATGAAGAAGAAAAAGCAAAGTTAAAATTTTTTCTATCAAAACAATGTGGGAGGGTTTGCTTAACTACAGACACATGGACTTCAATCCAAAATCTAAACTACATGAGTTTAACAGCGCACTTTGTTGACAATGACTGGAAGCTTCAAAAGAAAATTTTGAATTTTTCTCAAACAACAGGACATTCAGGAGAGCTCATTGCTAAACATGTTGAGGCTTGTTTGAATAATTGGGAGTTGAAGCGGGTCCTTAGTATCACTGTGGATAATGCTACAGCAAATGATGTTGGGGTCCAATATCTTAAAAGGAGGATGTTATCATGGAATTGTCTTGTCTTAAAGGGAGAATATGTCCATATGCGTTGTTGTGCACATATATTGAGTTTGATTGTGAAGGATGGTTTAAAAGAGATCAAAGATTTTATTTTGAAAATTCGAAATGCAGTTAAATATGTGAAGTCACAGGATCTTCAAGTTCAATTGCTCTATATGATTTGATAGATTTAATTGAGAAAGGGCCTGACCACTTAGATTTGAGCTTCCCAGGGAAAAGTTTCATCCTAGAATTGAACAGCAATACTTGTTGGCCAGGTTGGAAGTTCCTGTTCAGAATTTTCCTGTCATGGTATATCTTGGCTTTGTGCTTGTAAGATCTAGAAGACTCATAAGCCTACAACTTCATTTCTTCTAGTTCATGCAATTGGAGCTTTCTTTTCTCCCCTACTGCCTTCAAATCATAATTTAAGGCCTTCAAAGCCCTAAATGCTTTGTGCTCCAACTCCATAGGCAAATGACAAGCTTTACCAATGACCTTATCCAATTCTTCGTTAGAGATAGGCAAAGCCTTCTCCAATGGCGATGAGCTCTTGAAATCATTTTGAGTTTCCAAGTACACATCATCTAATACATCAATTCTAAACCAATCTTTGTTGCCTTTTGGAAAATTCGTTGTTTCAAATACATTGAAACTCACTTCCTCATCTTGGACCCTATCCTTTGGCTTTCCATCATCCATGTCAATGATAACTCGAGTTGTCTTCATAAAGGGTCTGCCCAATATCAAAGGAACTTCTACATCCTCTTCCATATCCATGACTATGAAATCAACCGGGAACATAAACTTATCAACCTTCACTATCATATCTTCCACTATACCATGTGGAAACTTGATGGATCTGTCTGCCAACTGCAAGGTCATTCTTGTAGGTCTTACTTCCACTTCTCCTATCTTCTTCAGCATAGATAAAGGCATCAAATTAATATTGGCTCCAAGGTCTAAGAGTGCCTTACCCACTGATAAATTACCAATTGATACTGGGAGAGTGAAACTGCCTGGATCTCTGGATTTCTGAGGTAAAGACTTCTGTATAATAGCACTGCATCCTGCCTCAAGCTCCATAGTCTCTTCTTTAAGAATTTTTCTCTTCTTAGTCAACAATTCCTTCATGAACCGAGCATAAGTGGGCATTTGTTCCATGGCTTCAGTGAAGGGAATATTAATCTGGAGCTTCTTTATGATATCTAGAAATCTCAAGAACTGTCTTTCTTTTTCTTTCTTAGAAGGAGCATGAGGGTAAGGTAAGTTTCTTACAACAATAGTGGAAATGAATTCCTTGCCCTTCTTTTTCTTTTTCTCCTTCTCAACTCCATTCTTCTCTTTTATTTTCTCACTATTTACACTCTCATTTTTATCGTTTTCTTCCTCATTCTTCTCACACTCTTCCTCAACCTCCCTCAATTCAACATTTTCTTTCTTTTCATTTTTCTCACTTACCCCAACATCACTACCTACCACCTTCCCACTTCTTGTTGTTATGGCTTGGCAATACTCCTTGGGGTTGGTCTTGCTGTTGGCTGAAAATGGGCCTCCAGACATGTCAGCTAATTGCTTAGCTAGCTGACCCACCTGTACTTCTAAATTATTGATGGAAGCTTCAGTGTTTTTCTGGTTGTTCATAGACACCTGCATGAATTGGTTCAGAGTCTCATCCAATTTACTGGTTCTTTCATGCATAGAGGGATAAACAGGTTGATGTTGTTGTTGTTGTTGTGATGGTGGCCTATTGGATGGTCCAGCTTCATTCTTCCATCCATATCCCTGGTTGTTATTGTTTTTCCAACCTTGATTCCCCTGCATATAATTGTTAGTATTATAATTATGGGAATTAAAATTACCTCCTTTCGGTTGGTTACCCACGTAGTTGACCTCTTCTTCATTTGAGTTCTTAGAACAATGGCCATTGGGATGATCTCCCCCACAAAAATCACACTTTAAAGAAGAATTTGATTGAGCTGGGGAGGAAGCAATGGCATGAAGCTGCTGTGGTATTTTGGCCATCTGCTTAGTCAGTGCTTCAATCTGTTGAGATAACAGCTTGTTATGAGCAAGGATTGCATCACTAGTACTGAGATTAAGAACTCCTCTTTTATGAGATTGATGTCTTCCATGCTCTGCTGGTGATCAGAAGATGCCAAAGACTCTATAATTTGAGTAGCTTCCTCTGGGCTTACAGACATCATGGTTCCACCAGCTGCTGCATCTAATAACATCTTCACCTCAGGCTTGATTCCATTAACAAAGAAATTGAGTTGAGCTATATCTTCAAATCCATGGTTAGGACATTTTCTAAGCAATGACTTAAATCTCTCCCAAGCTTCAAAAAATGGTTCATCTGCACCTTGCCTAAAAGTTGTGATTTCTAATTTGGCCTTAATATACTTGGATGATGGATAGAATCTATTAACAAACTTATTTTCCACATAACCCTAGCTTGTCAAACTTTGATTAGGGTGAGATTGTAACCAAACTTTAGCTTTTCGTATTAGAGACAATGGAAACAACCTCAAGTATACAGCTTCCTCATCACCTTCAGGTATTCCCATTGTTCCACATAGCTCATAAAAATTTGACAGGTGTGAGTATGGGTCTTCATGATCTAGGCCAGCAAATTGTTGTGAGCTAACCAAAGTAAGGAAGGCAGGCTTCATCTCTATAGCTATAGAAGTATTTGGAACTGCAATACTGGAGAAATGCCTAGGACCATGTTGTTGTGCGTAATCACCTAGGGTCCTTCTGGGAGGTATGGCTGGTCCATCTCCACCATTATGAGTTCCTAATCCCTCTTCAGCCATCTCTGATTCAAGAAATGGTTGATTTGATGAAGTAGAAGAACTCGTAAGATCTTATTGTTGTTTTTGGATTCTCTCTAACTGTCTAAGCCTTCTTGTCCTACTGTTGTTCCTCCTTGCCATTCTTTCAATTTCAAGGTCAAAATGTAATTCCTCGGCTGGAGTTTTCTGTCGCATACAATTTCAAGAAGTCTGCACAGCAAGGTGAGTCCACAAAACAACAAGACAAATTCATCTATATATTATAAATATTCACAAAATGAATTATTTACACAATTACAAAATCACAAGAACAAGAGTTACTAAATAGCACCAAATCCCCGGCAAGGGCGCCAGATTTGCAAACACACCACTTGGCAAGCGGACCAAGTTTCGATGTAGTAATTAAGTATCATCCTCAGGGATTTGAGAGTTTAGTAATTCTTACTCCAATGATTAATAAAGAGATGTTGATATGATTGGAAGTGAGCTAATGTGAAACAAAATTAAAATGGTAATGTAAAAGTTATAAGAAAAATTATATAAAATAAGGATTGGACCCGGAAGCACTTGCTAACTCTTAAATTTCCTTAAAATAAATATGATTTCATCTTCATGACTTCCACGTTCATTTAGTAATTCAACAAGATCCCTCAAAGTTGAATCCTAAAGTGATTAATCTAAAACATGATTCCTCTATGTTTTATGATTAACACTTTGCATTAAGAACAATGACTTGAACAAGGTGACTAAACAAATCAAGTCTATTCCTAGAGCAAGAGATGTTTAGGTGAAAGATTTAGTTCGAGTTTTCAAAAACGTTTTCCAACCGGATTCAAAAATCAAATATCACATAACGGGTGATCAAGCCGGTATAAGCATTAAAAGTAGAATCAAGCACAAGTAATGAGAATGAAATGCATATATAGATTTAAGAAATAGAAGAGTTAGTAGTTACACCAGGACCAATCCTCAAAAGATTTAGCCACACATGGCCATTACAAGATCAGAGGAGTAGAAGAAGAAATCACAAAGTAAAAGATGAAGAGAAGGGGTTGATCTTTGTTCCCAAATGATCCAACTTCCCAATCTTCGCTCTTGCCCTGTTTTTCTCCTCTTCATACTCCCAATCCTATTTTTCTCTTTGTGTTTCATGATGCCCCCCTGTTTTTCAGATTTTCCCCTTTTATATGAGCTTTAAAACAGAGGCAAAAAGTGATTTTTCCTCCCACAGCTGCAGCTGTAAATCCACAACTATGGTTGTGGAGGGTCCTTCAGGGTGAAGAAACCTCCAACGCTACAACTGCAGATCCACAGCTATAGCTGTGGCAAATCCTTCATGGTGAAGTAAGTCTCAGCGTTGCAGCGGTGAAACCACAACTATGGATGTGAATTTCTGGAACTTTTGCTGGATCCTGGGTGCTCCATGGCTTTAGTTGTGACTCCACAGCTTTAGCTTCAAGTCTCTGGAACTTCAAAATTGCAATCCAGATTTCCACAGCTATAGCTGCAGAACCACAACTATAGCTGCAAGTTTCTGACCTCCTAATTCCTTCCCAGATTTCCACAGCTCGAGCTCCAGATCCATTGTTATGGCTGTGGATCTCTGCCTTCTCAAATTTTCTGCAAAAATGGAGGAAATTCCTTAAGATTTTGCTACTACTCTTCTACCCTTTTAGTATAACTTGATTCTTCCAATTTAGGGGGTAAAATAACATATATAAATATGTACAATTACCAAAAAGAGTACCAAAAGTTGAGTGTAAATGAAGAACAAAAGACACTCAACAGTAGCGACATTCTAAAAATGTTGACTTAGTTTTTATATATTTCATATTATTATTATTTTATTTAATAATTAGTTTACCAAGGAAGGACCTATAAGGCAAATATTTCAATCTCTTCACTTTCAATTAAACTCAAGATTGAGGAAGTAGTGTACGATCCAACCAAGTTATTTGATATAATTGAGTTATGACCAAAAACGAATGATGCCCGAAGTAGACAATTATAGTATTTGTCATAAGGTTGGTTATAGTCAATTAGGGTCGATTATTAGAACATCATGTGTTATGAGCAAAAATCCAATACAATAACAACTCAATAAAAGAGCAATATACAATGGAAATAAGATCTCCCAACTTACAAGAATTAGCATGGAGCACCAAAAAATAGAGCAAAAAGAAAAGGTAATCCAAATACACAAGAGACAAAAAGATTTTGAACGTGAAAAACTCTTCAATCTAAAGGTTAAAATCATAAGTTTCCCAAACCAAAGAAAATCTCCACCATGATCAACAAAGGGTACAAGAGAGTATCCAATGAATGCACCAAACAATGCTTACGATCAATCAAAAATATTAAGCACAATTGATTACAAATGACAAACAAAATGAAAACTCCAAAAATAGAGTCCTTGATACGAACAGGTTTTTTCTCACTCCAAATCTATTGTCCAAATTTTAGTCTAATTCAACAACAAACAAATCTCTTATTGCAATATGAAAAATTTTGCAAGGTGGGAATGAAAAAATGCACAATGACTTTTCCTCTTCTCTTCTCTTTGTATTTGTTGTTGTTCTCTCTCAATAATAATTATCTCTCTCAACTCAAATCTAACCTTTTATTTTCGCTTGATTAAGTGAGATATAATGGACTTACATATTTGAGTCTATTCCTTACATAAGAAAAGAGCTCAAAACCCAACAATGTGAAATAACTAGGTAAATAATTAAGTATAGGAATAACTGAACAAAGGCTAACCATATTGTTGAGTGTGTTTTGTAGATACTTCCCTATCTTTTCAAAAAAGAACTAAAAGACTCAATTCAGACAAAGATCATGTAGAAGAAATGGACAAGAATATCAAAGATTCTTTATTACTTGAAGAAAGGTGTATTGCAATTTTGTAAGTACAATTGGGATTGTAACAAGATGATAGCAAAGGAAATTTGTCTTGGAAGAAATATGTGAATAGTTTTATTTGATTACACTTCTCACTTTTCTAGAAAACTAGTAATACAATCAAGATGAAGCATCATGCAATGAAAATGATCAACAACAATCCAAGGAAAATTAGACGGAAAAAAAATACACTGGATAGAGATTAAACTTGAAGTTCATCTTCCAAGGTTTTGTTCTCTTTTTATTTTCTTCAATTATCCTCTTGCAATCAAGTTTAGCAAGAAATCCTTGTAGTTTCCTCTAGCAACCTCTTCAACTTTCTGTGGTAAAGAAACTTCATATAGGTTATGGTACTCTGCTTTTATGTCCTTTATATCAATGTCAGCTCGAGTAACAATAACACGAGTAAGTGATTTCTTAGTATTCTTGTCCACATCAATTCTCAATGCTGCATTCAAAACCTGGGGACAAAAAAGAATGCAATTTATAATAAAGTTTATTATTATTGTTATAAAATAAAAAGGGAACACAAAACCAAGAACTTCGGGCGTTGGATTCTAAACTTGTAACTTACCTTACTGAAATATATTTGTGGGGTACAAAGGCATTGCACAGTCTCTTTAAATCTTAAATCATCAAGGTCCTAGCCATATGCATTGAAGGTTTAATCAAGAATAAAATCTCATCAAATTTGAAGTACAACAAAACCTCAAAACTTAAGGTAACATATATAAGAGAGGATCATAAAAGAAATTCAAATGGCATAATTATTGGGCATTAGTAGTTTCTATTACCTCATCAAGGTTCTTGCCAGATATCTCTTTATAGTGCTTGTAAACTGCTTGTAGATGTAGCTTGCTTCTTGTTGCCAATATCCTTATTACTTCATCATCCTCATTAATAGGCTTCTTATGAACATTCTTAATGGCATTGGAAAGGATTTTGGCCTCTGATTTTGCAGTGTCATCTTTAACCTTCGATCCTTCATATCTATAGGCACTCACAAGGGCAACCAATAACTGTTCAAAAGACAATAGTGTTAATTTGACTTAGATATACTATTATTTTTTGAAAGACATACAAGTAAAATCATGCCCATAAAATATTCACCAAAACCTTCTTTTGTAATATAACATTTACTTATTTTATCAAAACAATCTTGCATCTAATATTTAAGCTTTGACATTATTGTCTACAATGCATCATTTAATTATAAAGACCATATAAAGTGAAGCAACAATAATTAATAGATTTAACAGCGATACATTCACATATAAAATAATTTTACGCAGTTATCCAAACACAATTCACCAAAAATGATAAATTTGTTAACTTTTATAATAACTAGTTTAAAAGTTATACAAAATGTGATTTTTAATCGATTGATTATGTAAAACTTTTATACTAACAATGCATGAGTATTAAACTCATAATATTTTAGAATTTTCAATATAAATTGTCTTATAATGATAAAACCTCCAAACTAAGAAACTATCGTATGATTTAAGGCATTACATATCTATGATCTTGATTGATCTTTAGAGCATCTCCAGTGGGGGTTGCTTATAAGCAACTCTTGTGCCACATTATTGTCACATCAGCTCTGGTTCACTTTATGGGTTGCTTAAATTTTAGCAAAGTTACTAAAATTTAAGCAACCCACAAAGTGGACCAGAACTGATGTGGCAATGATGTGGCACAGGAGTTGCTTATAAACAACCCCACCGGAGATGCTCTTATATGATATGTAACCAAGTATTGTAAAGAGATCCACAAAGATCATTGGTGCAAGTGTAGCTCACCTTTCGTTCGATGCCATGGATGTGAGAAGCAACATCTTCTTCAATGGAGTGATCAAAGAGAGAATGATAGGCCTTCCTAGCTCCCAAAAGCTCCTCTGAGGATCGTGTGCATGCGACCTCAACCAACACTCCATAGGCACTTGGGCCCTTCTTTAGGGCCTCTTTCACTAAACGAGCATCTCTTTCCCAAGGGTGCATGGTCCAAAGCACCACAGCATTCTGATTAAATCACTCACATAATAAGGGACCACGTATAATACTAATTATTCCAACTTTGGTTCATTATATTTCATTAGCTGAATCTTGCTTTTCAGAGTGTTAACAATTAATAAAGCCTAGTGATAATTGCCTGAACGTCTCATTACATTTTGTCTTTAATATTAATACAAAAGGGAATTTATTAATGATCATAAAAATAATAAATGAGTATTACTTCCATGAGTTCCTTCGTGTAACAATAACAAATATACATTAATGAAAAGATTAAAAAAAATCCTAAACAAGAAGGACACGTTTGCTCTATTAAAAATGTGAATAAATATTTTGTGACAATAATTTTTAAGAAAAATGTGAATATCTTTTTGTTACATATTTAACATTTTTATAGAATTCATTACAAAAGTGATTTAGAGTTAAAAAAAATGTTTTTCTAATCAAAATATAAAACATTAGTTTTTAAAAAATGTTTTGTTTAAACTTTTGAAAAACAAAAAAAGAAAGAATCTGGAGCAAAATTTTGATTATTTTGACAAGTTACTTTTACTACTGAAAAAAAAATGTGATTCTATTTATAACTACCTTTTAAGAAAAAGTGTTTTATATAAGTATACTCTATTAAAAACATAGATTCAACAAAAAAAAAAATCTATTAAAGGGATAGCTTTTACTTTTCATAAAATCTCTAAATTATTCACTTTTTATATATTTTAATTAAAAAAATTTAACAGACACGGTTATTCTCAACCTCCTTCAGAAGAAAGAGATGATTAATTAACCAATTAACATTCTATATATGGTGTTATATGCATTTTAGTTGGCACCTTCCATACATATTCTTATAAAAACAATCTGACTTTGACTTTACCAAATATATTATTAAAAAAAATTAATATCTAGTCATGAAAACAAATTTCACAATTACTATGAAATCCAACTGATTATATATGTTTACCTTAAAACGCACGAATTCATGCTTGAGAAGACGAACATAGTGATCATCACACCTCTGAAAATGACGTTCATGATCCTCAATGAACGAATGTGGTGTGTTCTTCCTGAAAGATTCTCTCTCTTGAGGATCCCATTTTCCCAGTATTGTTACCAATGATTTCTCATCCACTCCATGCCCTGAAATCATCAATCACTGATAATCAACATAATTCATATATATTTTCTATTTTTGGCATATTATCTTCTTGTTTAATGTATGGTCATTCAGACATTAAATATGGACACCAAGAGTTCAAATCTTGGTTAGTCTCTTTCGTTAAACTCAATTATTATTATTTATTTTTTTTGTCAAAGGACATGCATATTTAACAATATATTGGGGGAAAAATAAATGATATATGAGGTAAAATAGTAGAAGCTTAAGGGAGTGTGAAACAAAAGAGAGAACCTGAGAAAGCTTGGGTGATAGCTTCTAACTCTTGATTGAAAGCCATTCTGATTCTTTTGTGTTTGAACTTTGAAGTTTGATAGAGTTGAGACAATTGAGATACTGCTATGTCCAATAAATGGTATGGTCACTTTATAGGACCACCCAAAGGCTATTTTCGTCATTTAAAATGTAATAAACAAATATCAAGTGAAGCTTGCTTTATTGTTACAGACACAGAAATTAACAAGTAGTTCAAAATTATTAAATGTTCATGATTTTAACCAACTACAATATGACATGTGTTTAAATTTTTTAATTTATGAAAAAAAATAATTAAACTTAATTACATGTCATGTAAATATTAGTTTCAATACCACTTAATAATTTCTTATTGTTATGACTTTTGACCAATGTAGTATGAAGATGTGAAATATAAAATAAAAATAAATAAATAAAAGTTATGTTTGTACATTAAAAAAGGTTGTGCAGTGACTCATTTCTCCTTGACATCATAGTTGTCTGAACACGAGTTTTTCTGAAGTACTGAAATTAATTAGTAAAAATGTATAAAAAAAAAGTAGTGAGTAACAGTATAGAAATTATTCTATCGAGTATGTTCTAAAACCGTACTGAATTTTAATGAATTGTAACTTAAATTGTGATAACAAAAAATTATGGTGAATTTATAACTCAAAATAAATATAAATATAAAGTTCAGTTATATATAAGGCCAGCTCAACAAATGATATAAAAGTTAAAACTATTAAAGAAAGAGACAGATGAGATAGAGAATTCATTAATTATTTTGTTGTAAGTTACATAATGTTCATATTGTTGTTGCAATCATGCCCTTCATTTTAGAGTGTTTAACAACATAAGCCTCAGGGTTATTTCAATTTCTAATGTGACCACTTAAAATGCTAATATTTAAATATAATGCAATCATCTATTTAAATGAAATCAAAAGAGAATTTCATATGAGAGAAACTCCAAAACGAACTTATTTTAAAAGCTTATATTTCTTTCATATGATTTTTTTTGTGTTTTGGTGTGTTTGAGTTATTTGTAAAAAAAAATTAATTAAGAGTTGATTATATTTATAATTAATTATTATTGTGATTAATTAATAGAAATGAGTTTTAGATTTAGATATGTCTAATGAAAAATAATTTTAAGACGATCTATTTTATTTAAAACATACAAAATAATAACATTTTTTTATAAACATAAAAAAGTTAATATGAAGTTATTTGTAATAAACTATATTGTATTTAAAATAATTAAATATTAAAGTAAAATGAAAAATTAAAAACTTTGATAAAAATAAGTTTTTTATTCGATCGTTCCATTTTTAAATTCATTTATCAAAAATAAGTTGTTAACTTTAAATCATAAAATCTTTTTTTTTTATTTTTCATAAAGGTTTTTTTTTTGGTTAAAATGTAATAAAATTATAAGCTAAAATTTTATGTAAATATCAAACTCACATGAATAGGATCTAAGAGAATTTTATAACACCAGAATTTTTAGTAGCAACGAAAGAAATAAGTGGAAAATAAAGTGAATAGAAATAAAAAAATATATATATAAGAAAGAGAAATATATTAATAGAAATAACTAATATATAGTATATTTAAAAATGTTTGATTTAAAAGAAATAAAGAAAAAAAGAAAAGGATAAAAAAATAATTTTAATTCACTAAATTAATAAAAAAGTTAATCAATTAGAAGAACTTTTAATTATTTAATTAAGGTTTGCTTTTAATAAACTAAAGTTTACTTTTCAGTGAATTTTTGCTGGAAAAGTTAATCAAACATGAGTTGTTTTTATTTATTTTTTTCGTTATTTCTCCTTTCATTTGAGTAGAAATATTTTATAGAGGGATTTATTAATTATTTATTTCTTTTTTCTCTTTTTAACCTTTAATTTTTTTACATTACCTTTATTTTTATCTAATTCTCGCATACCAACCAGTGTTAAGGATTAGGAATTAATTAATCGTACAGCCTGGGCATATTATCACGAGGTATAAACAGAAAGAAAGAAAGATTGACCAGGAAAAATAATTTTTTTATAAGTTATATATATATATATATATATTATCATATTTTAATGGAGAATATACATAAATAATTATTTAATTTAACGTTTACATTGGAGAAGTACAATGTAGAACTTGATATTGATATTTATCACACCTATATAATAAAATATATCAGAAGAAAGCTAAAAAATAATAATTAATTTGGATCATGTGTTTTGTTGACTAAAAAGAAATCTAGAAACTGATATGATACTTCTCACCCTTTAATTTAACGATTACAGATCAAAACTACTAAAATATAGTAGAACATTTTAATCTAATTAGCTTGAATATCTTTTTCTCCAACAAAATTATTGTTTTATTATATTTTAATTTGATTCCTAAATTTTTTGTTTAATTTTTAATCTTTGTAAAAAAGAAAATTTAGTCCCAATTGAGACTTTTCCAGTGTTTTGGATAACCTCTCAAACATTAGATGGTTTAAAATAAATTCACTTAAAACAGTATAAAAAAATTTGACTTATGATCTAAAATGTTAAAAAAAGTCACGATCGACAATTTTTTTTTTAATATATA